TCCGATGACGAAGAAGAGGAGAGTGATAAGAACTCTAACCATACGGGTCTATGTCTTATGGCACACTCTGACGAGGAATCCGATCAAGAGAGCTTCGAGGTAAACTTTGAAAATTTTCTATCTAAGTTTGACTCTCTATCCAAAACCAAAGCTCGGAAAATTTTCAAAAGATTGACTATTGAGCTTAATCAAAACCTTTCTGAAAATGATCATCTTAAATCACAAATCACTGAGCTTGAGTCTAAACTCGAGGAAGCCACGAGAGCCAAGATAAGGCTTGAAACAAAAGTGGGAGAGTTAATAGATGAAAGGCTTAAGTATAGTGAAGTGGTTTTAGAACAAGATCAAATCATTTGCTCTCTTAAGCTCGATAGTATGAACAAACAAGTTAATCATGATGAAAAACTTCTTTCAAAAATTCCGAGCGTTGGTACTTTAATTGATCATCTTCATCGTCTTGTTGCCGAGTGCACTGATTTTAAAAATAGACCGGAATATCAATCCTATAGTGCAACGAACAAAACCAGGTCTAGACATCATTCTGGAACTGGTCCTTCTCAGCACAATAAGAAAGTAAACGAGACTGCAGGTCTCGGATATATTCCAAGGGATATTCGATCTAATCAAAAATCAAATTTTCAGAACCAACCCTTTAAGGGCAATAGAACCCGAGGACAACCCAGTTCTAGACCATATCAACAACCACCTAGAACTGGACCAAACTGGTTCGATAGACTGGTTCAGAGGCACAAAAACGGTTATGGACAAACGCCTAACCGAACTTTTCATAAAAGAACAAGAGGCTTTTATGGTAAATGGAAACCTAAATACGTTGATACTTATGACAACCGAGTTTGCATGCATTGTGGCAAAATCGGTCATCTTCGGTATCAATGTCACTCGCGACAAAAGACCTTAGAAAGATGTTTTGACTATGTTCGATATTCTTCCTCAAATAAATACAAAATGGAACCCCAAGCATGTCTGGGTTCCACGTGCTAACCCGTGATTCAGGAACAACGCCAAGTGAGGGGGAACAATCACTGGTTCCTTGACAGTGGTTGTTCTAAGCACATGACTGGAGACTCATCCTTATTTCTCTCACTTCGGCCATTTAGTAGTGGGAATGTGACATTTGGAGACAAAGGCAAAGGAGAAATTGAAGCCGTGGGAAAATGTGAAAAATCACCTAACCATCCAATTGACAATTTTTTAGTCAAGGGTTTAAGTTCAATTTGCTAAGTATCTTTCAATTTTGTGATGGAGGTAACAATGTTATTTTTAATAAACAATATGTGCTTATAATTGTTGATGATTTCTCTAGATTTACTTGGACTATCTTTCTTGCTAGTAAGAAAAATACTTTTAATGAGTTTGTTATTTGTGTAAGGAAAGTTGAGCATCAAATAGGAAAGCAATTAATTAAGATCCACTCGGGTCATGGAACCAAATTTGACAATATTCTCTTTGATACATTCTGCCAAGAAAGAGGGATAGACCACAATGGGTAGTAGAAGAAAAGAATTGAACGCTTGAGGATATGACTAGAACTATGTGAATCTCTAGTGGTCTAGCAAAGAATTTATGGGCAGAAGCTCTAAACACGGAGATTGCACCAATTCCATTAGCAAGGGGGAACTAATCATGAAATCAATCGCCATAAGGAGATAGCAGCAGGAACTGACGATAACGTGCTTAGAACTGAGGATATCCACTGCCAAGCAAACTGAAGAACAGACAGATCCAGTTCCAGACGACCCGCATGAAAGTGGAGACTATTCAAATGCTCCTAGAAGATGGAAACTTCATCGATCACATCCTTTGGATAACCTCTTGACTGACTTAAATCAGGGAGTATCAACTAGATCTAAACTTAGCAATTTTTGTGCTTTCTTTGCTTATTTATCAAATATAGAACTGGAGAACCATGAAGTGGCTCTCTCCGACACTGATTGGTTTCTAGATATGCAGGAAGAACTTAATCAGTTCGAGAGAAATAAAGCATGGCATCTAGAACCAAGACCCGAGAACAAAAACGTAATTAGTCTCAAATGGGTATTCTAGAACAAGCTTGATGAACATGAACAAATACGGATGGAACTTGGGTTCAAGCTATTTATTGTTTTGTTGTTGACAAAAGGGGGAAGAATATGTGCCCTATTCTCGCTACTTTGTGCTTATTCATTATGATACTAACTTGAGGGCACCAAGTGTTTGTCATCAACAAAAAGGGGGAATTTGTTGGAACATATTGTTTTGTTGATGACAAACAAACTAGTGTTACTTTTGTCTATAAGTGATTGCAGGAAAGGAAGATAAGTCGTGCTTTGGAACAAGCCGTAGACCTGAACCCGGAACTATCCTACAACGGACATATATGTTTTGTTGATAACTAACCATGCAGGTGGAACGACGAACAGAACCACTATCAGTTCCATATGGAACGGAAGACAGAACTATCCTTAGTTATGTTCTGTGCGAACGGGAAAGCAATTCAAAATATCAAGGCAAGTCACAAGATTAGAAGATCAACTATTCAAGGAAGGATGCTCAAACGGTCTGCCCAAGACTGCCTATATAAACGAAGCAGCCAAAGAGAAAAAAAGAGGAGCTTGACCGAGAAAAATCTTAAGAGACATATTCACAAAAGCAATATCAAAGTCCAAGGCGTCTGAAACTGCTCACTCGGAGTTCTAGATATAGTTTCTTCTTTCCCTTCTTCATATTGTAATGGGGTTTTGAGGATTAGCTAAGTGTAGCATCCTCGGGTTGGGTTAAGTGTTGTGAGAGCTTTGTTGTAAAGCTGAGAGGCTCTTTACCCGCAAGGTAGAGAAGTGTAACTCTTCCTAGAGAGGATAGAGTTGGGGTGGCTCAAGGGTAGACTAGGAGAGTTTCCCTTGTAATCATTCTAAGGCTTTTTAGTGAAGTTGTCATAATTCCTCCGAGGGAGGTCGAGGTTTTTTAATCCCTTTGAGCCAAGAGATTTTTCCTCGTTAAATCCTTGTGCACTTTACTATTTTGCATATCCCTTTACCCCACACTAGAACTGAGCGAAAAACTGCCACGGTTCCACACACACACAATTCACCCCCCCTCTTGTGTTGCTAACCGTGTTCATCAAAATTTCATCGAAAAATTTCACCAGGAAGACCCTCAAAACGTGGAGGTCGCACGGATGCTCCGGTAAGGTATACCTTACCGGAAGAGTTCCCATATATCACTACATATGTATATATATGTGTGTGTGTATATATGTATGTATGTATGTATGTATGTATGTATGTATGTATGTATGTATGTATGTATGTATGTATGTATGTATGTATGTATGTATGTATGTATGTATGTATGTATGTATGTATGTATGTATGTATGTATGTATGTATGTATGTATGTATGTATGTATGTATGTATGTATGTATGTATGTATGTATGTATGTATGTATGTATGTATGTATGTATGTATGTATATATGTATGTATGTATGTATATATACATATGTATATATATATATATGTGTGTGTCGGTTCTACCCTCGACCGACACATTTTCCCGTTTTTCCCTCAAAAATCGGATCCCCAACCTGAGACCAAACCGGTACCGGTCAGCCCGACAAAGATCAAATTGGTGCCGGTTCAAGACCCGACCGACGTCGGTCAATGCCCCCGGGTTCGGTCAACAGTTTGTTGATTTCCTGAATCGACTCTGATTGCTACGAAACTTAGCCAAAATGTGTAATAATTCATAAGTAATCAATATATGTCATTTTGGCAATTCAAAACACCATCCATGTTTTTATATTCATTTTAATTCATTTACATGCATAATATATTAGTCCTACTCACATAAGCCTAATCACCTTATCTAATCAAATGCTTAAATTCTTTTAAACATCATTATGAACACATATAATATTTCTTTAGGTAATCTCATACTTAATTAACCCAAAGTTATAAGACATTAAGCTGTCATGAACTCGCCTCAAATGAGTTTTAAGAAGCCTACCCTCATCGGTTGGCCTCTGGCGAAACTCCGGTGAACATCGATGAACTCCGGCGTTATGTCCAACAACTTTTTTTACTCCGTGAGAGAAATAAAAACACCTTAGACAAGTTCCTAACAAGGTTTCATCACCCAAAACCCCATATCAATACAAATAACCTCTAAAAGGTTATTTTCCAGCGAACCTGTAACATTTGGCTTCTAACTCCGTTCTTGGACTTACAACCGCCTTTCAACCCCTCATTATACACTTCTAAACGTACATAACAATCTTAGGGTCCTTCACATGAAATATTTTTCATATGATAATCAAATGAGGGAAGAAGAGTTGTTAAAGAGATTCTCACCTCTATTCCCAATGTTTTTCTCTCCTTTCCCCTATTGTTTCTTCTTCCTTGGACCTCTCCTTGGTTGACCTCAAGCTTCTAGCTATGCGGATGAATTTTGAAGGGATTTACTCTCTCCTTCGGTTACTTGGGTCGAAGTATGATTGAGGGAGAGGCAAGGGTCTCTTTTTGCCTCATTCAACACGGAGAGGAGAAAGACCACACGTCTCCATTTAATGCTTATCAATTCAAGTCTACTCCCTCCCTCCTTCCTATTAATATTCAGTTGCCCTCTTGACTATTGGAGAGCATCATTTCGTGGGGTGGTTCCCACTCATGTGGGAGGTCATCCATTTGTGTCCCGAAGTGTACATTTGGTTCCGCAAATTGTATTTTTCGGACTGTTTTAATTAGATTTTATTTTACCGGACCAAATAGAATATATATCATTTTTCCAATTAATGTGGGGCTGTGGGCCTCTAGAATGAATATATATTTCTCGTCTTGAATTTAATGGTCCCCGGAATTAATTACAGGCTATTATCTGGCAAATTATTGACACTGGTATATGGAACTCGTTTGATCATCCGGCCAACTCTATGTTGGTTTTAATCGTTTGTCCTCGCCATATAACAAGGCTAGTTTGCAAGTTTGATCGCCAAGATAGCAAGAGGAAATGATGAAATGCCATTTATATATATTCTTGTTCGGCAACAAAGGAGGACGTACTCTCCCCCCAACAACTCCGTATACCGAACATCAACAAACAACATTCTGTATTACACCCCTTTCAATCTCAACGAGATTACACTGCTCCTGTAGCAAAATGTGGGCATCAAATGTGTGTTATAGCGGGTGTGTGGATCTACGGGTGGACATTTCTATTCTGACGCATCCCCGTTGAATCAAATAAGATGCTTTTTTACATTGAGACATCAAGTATACAGTATTAGCGCAACTCGGACACTATAGGGGTATCCATTACCAACTTGCAGGATCCAATCCACACCGGCAACTTAGATGATTATCAATGAGATACGAGCACCTCTCTCACGAGTGTACATATGTGTAACGCCATACCAGCATCTAGCACTAGTAGCAGTCAAAAGTCCCCACAAGAGCAACTAATGAATGAATAGTGAGGGTCATGTCTAAAAAAGCTCCTCTGAATTGAATTTGTTCCATGCTTCCTATATATGGTGGCAGGTAGGAAATGACAAGAATGAGAGCCACAGAATAAAAGAAGTGATTAGGTATGTTGTAGAGAGAGGATGGGGATTAGTTGTGTACCTTAAGAAGGTCAAACACCTTCTCAGCAACGTATTTCTGCTGAAGAGTGGCACCTTTTTGCTGCACCTTGTCAGGATGGATACAAAGGGTTGCCTTTCTGTATGCTTTTTTGACAGATGCCCCCATTATCAAATCTGTTAAAGAAACTGGTTGCCAACCACATTCTGGCCAGAGCACCTGATGATAGCCAAGGGGAATGGATTTTAGATATCCCAGATAGCAAAGAGAACTGAATAATGCTAAGTTCTCATCCAGCTTCATTACTAGGGGTAAAATTGTAATTCTTTGGGGGGGGGGGGTAGAAATGCCATTCTGCCTCCACAGCTTATGGGAGTGACAACATTATTTAGTTGAGTAAAATTGTAATTCTTTTACCCCCTAAATAGATGAAGGCGCTGAGTTGGATAATGTTTTAGCTGAGTAGGTTAAACTTGTTGAATTATTGAAAAATACTATAATTTTTTTTCTTTTATTTCATCCACTTCAGCAACTTCAGTCTTCAGCCAACAAAAGTGTCTTCTGTTTGGTGAAAGACCGGATAAATATAAAATTTAAGAAGTCCCCAAACGGGCACTTTAATTCTCAGTTGAAGGATATATTCGAGTTGGTAATCAAACTCACATATTGCATTGTTGACAAAAGTGCACGCAGATTTCCTTCCTTCCCAGCAGCCCAACGCTTGATTTCAGTATCCAAAGTCTCTGCAATCCTCTGCGGCGGACCAAACAAAAAAGAAGCAACACCATTACATGTGGAGTGTGCAGCTTTCTATTGTGTGTGTGGGCCTGTGGGGGGCTAGAACTTTGTATACATGAAAAGATATCTACAATATTATGATATTAGTTAATAAAATCAAATGTCACACCATTGCCAAGTTACCATACCAGCTAGCAAGAAGTTTACCTGCAACTGGAAAGACTTGTACTTTTCTGAAGGTAGTGTATGATTGCATGGGTTTTAAGGTGAGGGGTCTAAGTGCACTTTGATACATATTAGGTGGCCTATTTTATCCTTATCCATTTTCCCTTTTTTTGAAGAAATTTTCCCTGTTTTATAGTTACCAGTTATTTTTTATTGTAAAGATGTATGGGAGAATTTATCTCCTAATGCAGTCAAACACCCTCAGAGGATTCTCATTAGTCCAGAGGAAAAATAACCTGACGCTTTTGGGATATATTCATCCTTTGAATAGCTTAATGTATTTTAGGCCAAACTTGGTTATAGATCTAATCACATGGACAAAATGATCCCATATCAACAAAATTTACAAAAGATGTCAATACAATCAAGATGCGGTAGCAAGAGCCACCAGTCCACCACCTTCAAGACAATGTTCTTCTACCTAAATTTTCAAAAATCTGTATCCAGGAGCAATAGTAATGCAAAAATACATTGGCATCATGACATGAATAGTTGCATGCTGTCCAAAAAGGCACTTACATGTCTTTCTTCCTGATCCCTTTGGACTTGAAGATCACGTTGATTCTTTTCAGCCAAGGCTTTAGCCTGGACACAAAACCTAAGTTATAATCATTTACAGAAATGACTCCGCAAAATATTGTATAGAATTAATGTTCCAGAACTGGCAAAAGGAAACAAAGCATCAGAAATGTTTCAGAAATGTACCGTTCGCTCTTGGGTGCGTTGATGACGCTCCAGTCTAGCTCTTCTTCTTTCTTCGCTTTCACCTTCAAACTCCTGAAACTCACCAGATGATGGAGCAGCTTTCCACGAAAATAGTTTCAGTCAGCGGCAAATCCATAAGATAGCTTTGTTAGCAAAGAATTTCATATCACATGAATTAAACTACAAAAGCATATCAAAGAAATACCTCCAAAAATTGAAGATAGATCATCCACAATATTTGCTGTAGATGATGCTTTTCTCAGGTTGGAGGCTAGACCTGGTGAAGATGTTGCCTTAGCCCCTTCAGAGCCTCCTTTGTTCTGGAATTGTGTATCAAACATAGTCTCCTGGAAATAGCAATGAATAAACATAATAAATACGCACAGGTAACATTGCACGAGGCTTTATTGAACATAAAAATATATGTATATCACGAGATGCTAATATGTACTCACAGGAGAACTTGCCCTTGGCCTTGGAGCACTGCTTGCTCGAGAACCCATACTAAAGAAGGACTCAAGATCATCGCCATTATTTTCTTGATTCACTCTTGAGGTGGCAGCCGCCGCCGCCCTTTCTCTAGCCTCAGCAGTAGCCCTTTCTACAGCAGCCCGTTCTTCCCGTCGTCGTGCTTCAAACAACTCAGTTTTTGCACCTGCAGCTTTTTCTCTTGCTTCCACTGCAGCTCTTTCACGGGCTTCTGCTTGCACTCTCTGAACCGCTGCCCTTCCAGCTCGCTCTCGAGCTTCAGCAGCTGCCTTCTCCACAGCAGCTCTCTCAGCTTTAATACGAGCTGCAGCTGCTGCCCTTTCACGTGCTTCCCTTGTAGCCCTTTCTACAGCCTGCCTAGCCCTTTCTCTCTCTCTTCCTATTCTTCTCTGTTCTTCCTCTTCCTTCACACGCTGGCGCCGTTCACGCTCTAATATCTCATCTTTTTCCTTGGATTCTCTGTCTTGAACTTCATGCATGTCATGTTCATCCTTTTCCAAGTGCACACTACTTCTAGCAGCCTTTGCATATTCTCTTTCTCGAACTTCCTTAGCACGCCTAAATTTAGCCTCAGCTCTGTCCATAGCCTCTTTCATCGCAGCAGCAGATGCGGCAGCGATTGAGTTTGCATTCATTTGTTCACCAGAAAGAGCAGTTGGAGTTCCATCAGCACTGTTCTGTGTGCTAGCACCATTGGCAAATTCCTCAAGTTCATGAAGTTGTGAGCCTGTGGAGCTCTTAGCCACAGCACCAAAAGTCTTAGGACTCTGAGAGTATTGCCTGTATCTTGGGGATGATGAATACACGTCACTTTTCAAAGGATGTGAGGCAAATAAACCTGCCTCTGACTTAGAGGTATGTCGAGGAATTGGAGGAGGAGGGCGTGATGGAGGTGGAGCACTCGTAGGATGGGTAAAAAGGGGGACCTCTGATACAGTGATCCAAATATCTTCTGAAACATGCACCTGTTCCTCTAATCTAGGAGACATATCTACACATGAACTAGCCTCATTTTGACCTGCACTTGCATAATGAGGAGAATGAGGGGTATATGCAGCATCTCGGCGAAGAGGTTTCAAGGAATCCTTTATCAGTCTGTCAACCAAAGACTCTGGTGATCCATCCTCATTAGCGGCATTGTGTGGGTGGATCCCAGAATGTCTGGAAAATGATTCCTTGTCATTATCTATGGAATGAGGTACTTGCTTCTCATTTCTCACAGATCTGTCCCTAGAAGGGCTTTTGTTACTTTTTGTATTCCTATCATGAGAAAATGAAGGCACGGATCCACCCAAACTATTCAGCGGATCAACCAGTTCATCAAATCCATCCCCCCAGCCAGATTTACCAGGGTTTGTGGTGCCTTTCAATGGAACAGAGAATACCCTGGTTGAAGGGGCTGCAGAAGATGTTTCTAGAACTGTAAAAGGGTAATCTGCTACGCTTGAAGTTCGATTAGAGTTCCCAGATCGTTTAGAAGTTTGATTTGACTCTGTTGATGGCCTACGTTAAAACAAAATATTGAATACATATTATTAGGTTAACTTATATCCAAACTACGTAGACAAGAAAAACTTGAAATGAAAACAAGTGCACCAAATATAATGTAAAATGTGAACATATGCCAAGAAAAAATGCATGATTCAGGAATCAGGATACAGCTCACTTGAGACCTGATCCAGTAAACTTTGCCTCTTGAGATGCTTTCAGCACCCTTTACCTATTAAAATTTCGCTCATGCACTCTATGATTGGGTTTGCAAAAAATGATAACACTGGTTGATGGTTTACAATGTATATCGAGAAGCTCTGTAGCATCAAATTTCATTATGCCTTACAAAACAATGTTTTCTTTTCTTCTCTATTTCTCTCCTAAATAAAAGAAGTCTGATTTGAGGGGAAAATTGTCATAAACTCTGCAACTACAGTCAGTTTGGCCCCATATCTGCCCCATCGCAGAGTGAAGATTCTGAAGATATGGTACTTCATTCAACCAGCGCCACACAATTTACCTTCCCAGAGTGCATCATCATTACATGCTGAATGATCTCATACACACCTGTGAACTTCGATCTGGCCTGAACGTGTGTTTTCACTTCCCTGCCTGCCATTCATCAAACCAGCCTCCAAGGCTCCAGGCACACGGGGCAGTTGACGAAGTCTAACAATATCTTTAGATAACATTATAGGTACTGTCCACAATTGAACAGTGTGAATCCAACATAAGGATAACATGAGATGGAATGCACAGAACAGTTACAACTTCATAAAATTTGTTATTTACTCCTAATAACCGAAAATGACATCACAATGGAGAGATACCTGTTCGTAACAGCAGGATTAACACTCCCAAAACCATCCAGCAAATCATCAAACCCTCTTGAACCCGTGCTACTTTTTATTTCAGTCATCTTCTCACTCTTACCCACATTCCCGAGCAGGTCATCAAGATGATCAGTATTGTGATTCTTTTTGGGCTGCGGAGCCACTGAGGCAAACATATCCTCAATCCTAGCAGTTGAGGAAGACAGTGATTTGCTCTTGAGCCCTGGAATTCCTTCAAAAATATCGTCATCATACACTGGCTTATCGTATACTGGCAAAGATGAAATATTGCTCCTTGAATGGTTGCCTGGTTTTAAAACGGAACCGTAATCAAAATCATTCATCGCTGAGTCCTTATTGTTCGCATTGGAATTCTTATACCTGGGCGGACCACCAAAGGCATCATTGAGCACTGGACCATCTCGATCGTCAAAGAAAGCAGAGGACCGCGCGGATGAGGAGCGGCGATCTCCGGCGTCGGATCTCATGGGTGCCGATTTGCCAGCGGGTCGGATACCGAAGTCTCGCGCCAAGACGTCAAGCTCATCCATAGCACTGTAAGAAATGCGGTAAATCTGGACCCAAATCCTACTCGGAAGCAGGGAAACAATCGCTGCTATGGATCCAAAAATTAGAGACAAATGCAAAGCTTAAACCTTTCAAGTGAATTAAACAAAGCCGCCAATAATTGCAAGTGAATGATCAAACATTATTGCCCGCATGCGAAGGCAACGGATTTAGAGCAGCATACAAGTTGAAATAGAAAGACGGGGAAATGTTTATTAGGGTTGGAGTGTGAAGGAAGATGAGTTGATGTCTGTGTCTTCTACTCCGTATAATATCTGTTCTCTGACTTCGTCTTCCCCAGCTCCTCCACCTTTCTGACTTCTGTCCATCACTCCATTGCCCTTTTTTTTCTTTTGAAAAAAAAAAGGTATCGGTTCGGTAAATATTTCAACGTGAATATACAGAGTACTTTATACTCCGTAGTTTATACGGAGTATTATACTCCTTACTTTATACGGCCATCAGTATGCCTATGCATTCCACCAAAATGATTAGAAATATGGGAAATTATCGTTGACCTCCCTTGAGGTTTGATGTATTATCAATCACACCCCTATACTATCAAAAATATAATCTTACCCCCCTCCCTATCTATTAATGATGGTTAAATAACTCTTAATATATATTTAGAGCAAATTATAGATATAATTTCATAACCTTTCATTATGCATGTCGCTTTTAATACTGTAATTTTATTCAATCACAAATTTGGTCGGGTAATTAATAAATTTGTCCATACTAAATACATTTTTATCAAAAGTCGAACAAAATAAAAAAAAAACAAAAACTGACCTCACTTTAGGTAGTTCGTTTTATGCCTTTGAATTTGTAAGGGAAAACTATCAAATAAGCCCCTGTACTATACCGAAAAAGTCGATTAGGCCCTCGTACTTTACAAACACTCAATTAAGTCCGTGAACTATTAAAAAGAGTTCAATTAAGCCCTTTTGGTCGGTAAGTAATCGGTTTCCCGGTTAAATGTAACTCGTTTCCCGACAGCCGCCGTTGCCAGGGTTCGAGCACATCATCGCCGTTATCGCCGTTTAACCGAGAAACCGGTTACTTACTGACCGAAAGGGCTTAATTGAACGTTTTTTTAATAGTTCAGGGACTTAATTGAGTGTTTGTAAAGTACGAGGGCCTAATCGACTTTTTGGCATAGTACGGGGGCTAATTTGATAGTTTTCCCAATTTGTAAAGTTAGTAAATTTACTCAATTGAAAATGATCAAAATAGGCTAAATTTGTCAAAAATTGAAACAAATCAACTTAAATGAACCAAACACACTCAAAAATGAAGTTTACTACTCGATTTTACCATTAAAAATGCAAGAAAATTTCCAATTTGCACTCTAGACACTCTTTGTTATCACTGGAAATCAGATCATTATAGGTATAATAACAGCTTGTAAATTAATATTTGACAAAATATGAACATGTTTACATGTAAAAATACTGGTAAAACAATTATAGTTTAGGACGGGTTGCACACCCAAACTGGTTAGTGCTAAATAATTAGGGCGACCCATGACCTTATATTCGGTTCCAATCTCCTAATTGGTCAAGATTCGCTCCCAATAATTCAAATATTTTAACTACCTATTTTTCAACTTGTAAATGGGCTATAACTCATCTTAAAATATTCTCAATGGTTTTAATGAAAAAAAAATGAATGTGGTCAAAACAAGGGCTCCAATCCCGATCCCAAAAAGTGAGGCACGAGGCCTCTTTTTCACCGGTCTGGTATCGGTCCCGATCTGAATTCTTAATTTAAAATTCGGCCATTCTCGAGATCGGGCCTTTTCCTCCCCGAATATGAATCACAAAAGTAGGTATTTTGACCACTTTCCATATGAATCAACAATAGGTAACAATAGTCTCCTAAAAGTTCTTCATCAACATCTATTTTAGGTATAAAATAATATTCCTCGTTATCAGACATTTTTCCCTCGTTAGAAAAGTTTCACCAAGATTTCTACAATCTCAGATATATTTTCGAACTTTTAAAAGTAATAGATATTTATTGTTTTAAGTTTGTACCTTTCGATTGTGTTTGCTACTAGTTCTATAATTTTACTAACATGTAGATGTATTTAAGTACCTAATAAATTTGTCAATAGTAAGGACTATTTCATCGGAAAGTATGTGTTCCTGCAAAAAAAAGCACTTTCTGGTAGAAAGATTCTTAATACAGGTAAATTTATTAAGTGTCAGATTAAATCTGCAAGTGAGAAAATTTATAAAACTAAATTTATACTTTTGCTAAACGTAATTATGAGTTATTAAATTTTCATTAAAGGACAGGGAGGGGGGTAAACACATATTTTCAAAAGTGTGGGGGTCTAAGTGATAATACATGAAACCTCGAGGGAGGTCAATGATAATTTCCCTAGAAATATTGAATAAAATCCCGCTCAATGGACATGCCGGATTACACGTCGGTTAAATTGTCTGTACAATTTGTTCGGCGTTTTATGAAAAAAATAGATTTCCATACAGATAAAAATAAAAAGTTGTCTGTATCACTAACATTTTAGATGAGAATTTTTCATAAAATGTCTGTGATACAAACAATTTTAAATGAGAATTTTAAACAAGAATTTTAACATTTCTGTAATACAAACAAATTTTTTATTTTTGCCTGAGTGAAAATCAGTTTTCTTAATAAGACGCCAATCAAATTGTCTGTACACACACAATTTGATCGGCGTGTAACCCGGTGTGTAAAAAGTGGCATGTACAAAGGGAATTTTCCAATTGAATATTGATACGACCATGGAGAATTTAGAATTGTTAAAATAGTTTGTGATTTTTTTTACCATTAGTTAGGTGAGTTTTTAGAAATATAATTACTGCTCCCTCCATTCTTATTTTATAGTGTCATATTTATTTTTGGAAATTTTATTATTATTGCACGCCTTTCATTTTCATTAAGTTTGTTTCATAAAAAAACACTTTTAATATTCAAAAAAGAAAAAAAACAATTTTACATTCTCATTTTTATTATTACAAACTTCAGAGCACTTTCTTTTTCTTTTTACATTTTACAAACAAATTTGTTCTTAATATTTTTTCTTTTCTGCTTTTCATTTACAATACACATTCTATATTATTATTGTTTTCTTAAAAATCACAAAATGCCCAGTAGGACAACTAGTTATATTTATAAACTGATTTCTCTTTACTATTTTCCATTACTATTTTGTCCTTAATATTTTCTCTTTCCTAATTTTTCATTTATCATACACCCCTCTATATTACTTCTACTATTGTCTTCTTAAAATCACAAAATACCTAGTAGTATAACTAAATAAAATTGGAGAGAGTATCATATTAGAAAAATAATGACTACACTTGACTCTTTAAATTCCTATTCAATCGAACCGCCAACGATTCAGTTCCTGGTCTCTCCTCATTCTCAGACATGAGGGTTTGCTTGCCATTCAGGTGAAGACTTTACCCTAGTGTCCATCTCACTCTCGGCTAATAAGGAAAACGGTGGCTCCTACCACAATGTTGTCACTGACAAGTGAATCTAGAAGCATCTGCATCAATCGGTAATCACTTTCATCTCTTCACCTAGGAGTTTTCAACACTGCAAACTCCGATCCTTACTCTCTCTAGTCGCTATAGTCTAAATTGGGAATCCCTTCTTTTGTATCGCATTACTTGCTAGCGGTGGCGATTCCCGATTAATTTTAGGGTTGGGTTTTAGTGATGAATTCAGATCCAATCCTGATGGAAGATCCATTCATAAAAGAACAATAATTAAGGAAGGGATAAGGGTAATAAGGGTTCTAGTTGGGTGAATATTAAGAGAGATGAGTGGTAATTCTACAAATGAAAGCTGAACTTAAACTTGAGACATCTTACAAAAGAGAAAATTAGAATTTAATTATGAATATTTTCTTTATGTGTATGTGGATACATTTATTACTTCAAATAGGATACCTTTTTCTTCTAATATAGTTTATTTTAAACATCTATACTATTATGTAATTGAAAAGTTCATATTTGCTAAGAACTTTTAAAGTCATATTAGGAATTTCATAATGTTTAATTTGGATTCTTTCCTAATTGCCTTTATATATTTATGATGGCGCTATATTATGTGTATTTTTGTTAAATTTAGTTATTACTTTTTGTAAAAGGTAGATATATAATGATTATATAGGCACATATACAAGGCCATCATTTAAGGGGTTCAATAGGATCTCTTGAAGATGGTCCCAAAATTTTAGAGGCCTCAAAAGTTTGGGATCTACAAAATATGAAGTACATGCCTATATAAGATAGTTTTAGCCACTTCTGGACCGAACATAAGGTTTTGCATTGCATCAAAGCATACCAATACTTTGTAAAGAAATAAAGCTTCCACAAGATTTAATGGAGCGGAGCTTCGAAGCACATTAAGTCATTAACCGTCTAGGCGTCTAGTGTCATATTTTATTACAATATGTGGACACAAAGAATCATTAGCATCAATCGTTTTTCAATCCCATAAACAATACAAGATGGAAAATCATCATATCATGGTTTGTTTTATACATATACAAATTCCCACATACAACAGAACTTTCAACTCCATTAGACGGCCCACACATCTATTTGATCTTTCACATGCAAGATTAGTATTACAATGAATGTTTAGCTTTGGATTTGTAAGTAATGAAATGTTATGATAGAGTTGTTGGTACAATGTTCAATACTAATAAGATATTGAATTTATAGTGATCATAGTAATATGATTTAGGAAAAACACTTGACTTCGATGTGTCAAGTTTGATCTTGAAAACAAACAAAAGACCAACTTGCATTGCATTCGGACTTGCCATTGCAGCGTTGTTTCTAGGGATGGACTAGGACGGGTCGACCCGAGCCGAGCCCGGTTTAGACCCGGCCCAACCCGTTACTGTATAGGCCTGGTCCCGTCCCGGGACCCTACCCGGTGGCTATAAGGGCGGGCTTCAGGCTAGTTTTTTTTGGGCCGATTGGGCCCGACTGCACTATTTTTGTAATTGAATGCTCAGTCCCATCCTGAAGCCCGGCCTGATAGTGTTTGGGTCTCCCCGACCCGGACTGGTACCGGGCTTGAACTCCTTAAGCCCGAAGCCCGCCCAATCCCGTCCCGAAGCTCGCCCCAGTCCTGTCCTAGTCCATCCCTAGTTGTTTCATCACTTCGGTAAACTTTCGTTTAACACATGATACATAGTCAGTTAGTCACTACCAAAATACTCCGTAAGTTAAAACACTATAAATAAGTTTTTATACGTAGTGTGTGTGTGTGTGTGTGTGTGTGTGTGTGTGTGTGTGTGTGTGTGTGTGTGTGTGTGTATATATATATATATATATATATATACACGTGTGTGTGTGTAGGGATGAGTTCAAATGAAAGACATCTTAACATGTAAAATGAGAATTAATCGAAAAGTGCATCAAATAAGGTCTATTCGAAAGTGCATCAGATAGGGGTTATTGTGCATCAGATCGACAGTTTGGACGGCTGGGATTAATTCTCATTTTACACGTTAAGACTTTTTTTATTTGATCCAAATTATATACACACACACACACACACACACACACACACACACACACACACACACAAGAATGATCAGGTCCCCACGTTCGGACAGGACCCTCCGTCCGAACATCCTCGTTTGGGGTCCTTCCCGGTGGAATTTTTTGATGAAATGTTTTGAGCATGTTCCTCATCAAGTCTAGTTTGTCCATACCAAATTTCAGCTCAAAATTCGATCGGGAAGGCATTCAAATCATTTTTTGAAGTTGACTGCGTTTTTATATGTATATTTTGACGCAGTCAACTTCAAAAAATGATTTGAATGCCTTCCCGATCGAATTTTGAGCTGAAATGTGGTATGGACAAACTAGACTTGATGAGGAACATGCTCAAAAAAATTCATCAAAAAATTCCACCGGGAAGTGGCCCAAACGTCCATGTTCGGACGGTGCTCGGACGGGGAATGTTCGGACCTGAACATTCCTCTATATATATATATATATATATATATATATATATAGAGGAATGCTCCTGTCCAGACGTCCGGACAGGAGCCGCCGTCCGGCCGGCGGCGTTTGGCCGCCTTCCCGGTGGAATTTTTTGATGAAATTTTTATGGCATGTTCTCCATCAAGTCTAGTTTATCCACAAAAAAATTCAGCCAAAAACTCAATCGGGAAGGTCGTCAAATGATTTTTGCAAGTTAACTGGTCCGGAAAATACATATTCCGGACCAGTTAACTTGCAAAAATCATTTGACGACCTTCCCGATTGAGTTTTTGGCTGAATTTTTTTGTGGATAAACTAGACTTGATGGAGAACATTCCATAAAAATTTCATCAAAAAATTCCACCGGGAAGGCGGCCAAACGCCGCCGGCCGGACGGCGGCTCCTGTCCGGACGTCTGGACAGGATCTTTTCTATATATATATATATATATATATATATATATATATATATATATGAGTAGTCTTCCTGTCAGGACCGTCCGGAAACGGACCTCCGTACGGACCTCGACGTTTGGGCCTCTTCCCGGTGGAATTTTTTGATGAAATTTTTTGAGCATGTTCTTCATCAAGTCTAGTTTATCCATACCAAATTTCAGCTAAAAATTCCATCGGGAAGGCATTCAAATGATTTTTGGAAGTTAACTGCGCACTTTATATACATATAAAATGCAGTTAACTTCTAAAAATCATTTGACTGCCTTCCCGATGGAATTTTTAACTGAAATTTGGTATGGATAAACTAGACTTGATGAAGAACATGCTCAAAAAGTTTCATCAAAAAATTCCACCGGGAAGGGACCCAAACGCCGAGGTCCGTACGGAGGTCCGTTTTTGGAGGTCCGTTTTTGGAGGTCCTGACATGAACTTTCCTCTCTCTCTCTCTCTCTCTCTCTCTATATATATATATATATATATATATATATCGACCACAATAATGTTTTTACCTTTACCAACGAATGGATTCTCCATTGATCTGACCCCTTGTGAGAATGGAAACAAAGTCATATGTGAATTATATGCTAAACCACATGTGACATACACTGATACACACATCACATAATTTTATTTTCACACTTGATAGTGTGGACACGTTAAAAATTGCCCAAGTTAACATGAGTACATGACTTAGCTTTTTTTGCGATTAAAGTACTTCTGCTTTTTTTGATTGGAAAAATCATATTGTACATTCATATACGTCATATTGTACATTCATTTATATACATTCATATTGTACATTCATTTTTATACGTCTTTGTACACGCCCCTATTTAGCCCGTGTGCACACGCCAGTTTGTCTAAAAACACCTTTTTAAAAAAAATACTACCTCCGTCCTCGAAAATTGTTCCCACATTTACTTGGAACGGAGTTTAAGAAAGTGGGAATAAAGTGAAAATGTATGATTGTGATTGTGTGAGAAAAAAGTAAATGACTTGTAGTTACAAAAAACTTTCCAAAAGGGGAAAGTGGAACAATTTTTTGGGACGTCCCAAAAAGGAAACCGGGAACAATTTTCCGGGACGGAAGGAGTATATATGGAATTGTATAAAATGAGCATGAAAATGCATCAACTTGTACATGAAGAATGACTCTCTTGATTTATTTCATGCAAATTCCATACTTTACGTCCATTGACTATGAAACTCCAGCCACAATTGGTACATTAGTTTGTTCGTGAAGGCATCATCTGCCATACGAGGCATAATTGTGTCATTATTTTCATTATTTCTTGGAAGTGTCACTCTAGAGTCTAGATTTCAAGTCAATTGGTTGTAGGGGTGGACCCAGTTCGTGTTACGGAACCGGGCGAGTGTAAGGACCAGACTGTCGCCCATTTTGGTTCAAGATCAAAACCAGGCCAAATCAGTCCCGGTAACCGGTTACTTTGAAATAGGACCAGGACCAAACAATCACAGATCGTCTTTAAAAAAGCGGCTAGGAACCGGAATTGAGCCAGAACTGGCTTACTAGGTTAGGATTCTGGTTCCCCTTACCCTTCTGGAACCGAACGGGTCCATTCCTACTTGGTTGTCATTACTCATTAATGTGATGCATCTGTAGAAATCAGCTACATGTTAGCTCAAATATGTACTACTAGTTGCTGTAATTAAATATTTAGTAAAGTTTTTGTTTGAAAGAAAAAAACATTTAGTAAAGTTAGGAGAAAAATGATATGGAGTACTGGGTGAAGAAGTGAACTAACATTTGATACAGGTAAGAAAACCATTTTGATGCCAAAGCATCACTGTCAACGGTGAAACTCCTTAAACATTACTAATTTATTATAGTCAATTTTGTGCGATGCCCTATATATGTATTTCACTAAAGTAAATCATACTAATACAGCAATACTAACAGGTTAATACCAGTTTTTACATGAATGTACAGAAACTGGCAGGTTACTTGCGACAAGAGACTATCTGCTGACCACCCGAGGAAATTCCATTGTTTGCAGAATCAGCATCAGCTTTAACTCTCCGATAGAACAAAACATAAGCAGCAGAAGACTTAACATCTTCTTCATTAATTGGAGATATATGGCTGTCATCAAAATTATACCACCTATTTTCGTCCAGAAGCTGCAAATCATTGAAGGAGAAAGAGGTCAAATTTCTTGAATATACAGACAATTAGGGTATGTTTGGATCATGGATACTGCTGGGGAAAGAAAATAAGAATAACAAAAAGTCATAACAAGGAAAGTCATTATCTTATATTTGGTTAAACGTTGAAAATGCAAAGGAAACCAGACTGTTTTTTTTTTCTTTTTGCGCATTAGATTTTTTGCTCTCAGAATCCCCAGCTATATGATAGACAGTTAGACACCAATATATGTGTTAAAGCATTTGTCCCACACCGGAAAACTACAAAACAATTAAACACTATATAAGGCTTTGAGCTACTCCAAATGCTTTAACAATATGATATGAGTATTAACAAATATCTGAAATAAATGATTGTTTTTTTGAATTTTCGGGTCAATCTGGACAATCATGAAGTTACCCCTAAAACTTAATTATAAGACCGTTTGAACTAATTAATATACAGAAATCACTTGCAACTTTGCTTTACAGTATTTTTACTTGAAATATAAGTTGACTTTCATAGTAGACTTGTTTTTTCGGTACATACAAAAAGTTCTAGAAACGTGATTCTGTTTTTTTATGGAGTATAAGGAGTATAAGATTGTATTTGCATGAGTACGACTATTATAGACTCGCGCGTAAAAGTAGTTATTAGCATTAAGGGATAAAGGAAAAATATTACCTTGATATGTGCGGTGTAGTGCCCACTTCCCATGCCACCGTAATGATTAGTTAAGGCATAGAGATCGTAGAGCTGACGTTGAGAGTTGTTTTTGTTTGCTACATACTTGGTGACATCAAAATCATGGATGGGAAAATTGACAAAGGTTTCCAGCTTATGCTTCATTGACCTGCTGTACGAGAATCTCTTAAGATGAATAACAAGAACTTCTGGTAGCCTCCAAAGGTCAAGCTTTTTGCTGGCTTGCCGTCTTTCCTTGCACTGAGGACAATACCTTCAATATATATATTGTCAAATGGCGAAAAACAGCCAACTATTATTAGCACCAAATGGGGTTTTATGGCTTGTTTGGTTTGTAGATTTCGGAAAAAAAGGTAAGGGGTGAAATTTATTTTTAAATAACTTTTACATTTAGCTGATTGAAAATAAAGTGAAGGTAAAATACTATATACAGGATACAGATACACGATCTAGCAAATCATAAAGTCATTTAAAAAACCAACATATAGAAACATATTAGTAAAATAAAAATCAATCAACCCCTTCCCTTACCTCTGAAATATCTGAACCAAACAAGCCCTTTAAGGCATAAAATAAAAGGAAGCAGAAGAAAAAGAACCAACCACATATCTTCAGGAACCAAAGGCTCTTCCCGAAGAAAAGCTTCTAGGCAACTATACAAAGAGAGAGGTTCAATACGAGCTTTCTTTGCGACAGATGATCCATACTTAGTTACTTCTGGCAAGTTCTCAAGGTAGTGGGTATCATAGTTTTCCAAAAGTTGTTGTGGCCAATCAATGAATACCAGTATTGACTTTGATGAAGAGGAGACCTTTACTGCCTTGTCTTCCCCTACAGTTAGGTCAATGCATGCATTGTTTTCATCAACCAGCTGCAACGGTAGTTTCTCATTCACCACATCAACCACCACACTGGAAGAATCATCTTTACAGGTTTCACTGGCCATTGATGTCTTTGCAGTGGAGAAATTGTATGTATTTTCCCTTCTTAACATGGGAGAGAGCATTTTGTGAACTATTGACTGTATATCACCTCTAGTGATAACATCATCACATGAGATTGGAGAAACAAGAGGGGTTCCATAAGGCTTCCACCCCACGCTGCTCTGAGGCAGCCCAACTTCACTGGAATAATGACACACAAAATTAAATTAGGTATATCATCCATCCATGCCCTGAATAATCCGAGATTCATAATAAATTATGTGAAAAAAGCAAGCACAAAGTGGGTTAAAGCTAGAAACTTTGTACCAAACACGTGACAACTTTTCAAACCAATCTAAATAATAATACTCCCCCGGACCTTAATATAAGGCACAAATTTGGCTATCACATGAACCAGGGAAATGATTAAAAACATTTAAATAGTCTTCACATTCTTAAAATGCACTTAAACATTTATATGGGAAATATATTGAAGAGTTTTTAAGATGAACAATTGTGTGAAAAAATATACATCTGCAATGATTGCAAAAGTGACTTAAATTTAGGATCACCCTAATACAACAACATTCAAGCCTTAATCCCAAAAGATTTTGGGGTAGGCTAACACGAATCGATACATGATATCGGAACCAAAAAGAAAAGAGAGATAAGAAAGATAAAAAAGATAAGCTATGATAAAAAAAATACAAAAATAGATAGGATATGCATAAAAAGGCAGAATAAAAAGGATAAAAAAGAATATATATATATATATATATATATATATATATATATATAAAGATAAAAGGATAAAAAAACAAAAACACAAGAAAGAGAAAGAAGATGAGGAGAAAAAGATGATAAGAGATCACTCTGTCACACGAATACCCGCCGCCCTCCACTTTGCTCTCTCCAAAGGCATGCCCTCATTCAACCCAAAAAGAAGCATATCACTCATGATTCCTCTAATCCATGTCTGTTTGGGTCTTCCTCTCACTCTCTTGGATCACCCTAATATGCCTTAAAAATAGGACCAGAGAGAGTACGCATTGATAGGACTCAGGCAGATTAGCACTGATAATAATAATCATCATCATTACCCAATGCTCTAAAGGCTCCCACCTATGGTGGGGTAAGGGGGGTCGGATATACGTAGCCTTACCCCTGTGTACTAAAGCACAAAGAGGCTGTTTCCAAATGACCCATAGTGAAAAGCGCATCGAAAATTACATTGACTGACTGCTACTTCACAATAAAGAAGCACAGACAGTTTAGTGAGCCATTTTGCTTTAGGAAAAAATCACATCAATAATTTCACCTATTACCATCCTTCTCATATTAATCTCATATATATAATTCCAAAATAATCTGAATTTAAAGGGTACTCTTCTCAAAATGATCCCAGGTGACTTGAAACTTGTTTGGCCGGTAAATCCTATTGATCTCTATGCTAACACTTTTACGCATGCCCTGAAAACCTTCCGTCTCTATCACTGTATGCTATCTCCAACCCGTGGCTTGGATTTGTTAATTCGAAAGAAGAAAAAAGGGAAAAGCATGAAGAAGGAGCCACGGTTTTCCTCCAACGGTTCAAGTTCGAGGATGAGAAGCTTCCGTTAAAAATTCTGATGAAATTCAAAAGAGGAAAGAGGAAGAATGGATATGCGTAGAATAATCATTTATATTTTAAATGAAGATAATGAATTGAACTGAGTAGCTTTGTTGGCCATTCTTCTTCATTCTTCTTTCTTCCAAATGGATTTTCTTGACCCGTCAGACTTCCCGATTCTGCAAATGAAGAACCTCTCCAGATTTAGTGTCCAACTTTACTAGCTAGTAATTGGGATTTGATGAATAATGGAGCACCCTATCAATTACCCGAAACCAGAATTTTTCACAGCAGCAATGGGGAAAAGGGATGGATGCTATCGGGAAGAGAAAAAAAGATAGAAAACGCAACTATGCAACACAGAGCCACAGGCACAATACGGAGGAGAAAAGAAATGGATATGCGTAGAATAATCATTTATATTTTATAATGAAGATAATGAATTGAACTGAGTAGCTTTGTTGGTCATTCTTCTCCATTCTTCTTTCTTCCAAATGGATTTTCTTGACCTGTCAGACTTCCCGATTCTGCAAATGAAGAACCTCTCCAGATTTAGTGTCCAACTTTACTAGCTAGTGATTGGGATTTGATCAATAATGGAGCACCCTATCAATTACCCGAAACCAGAATTTTCGCAGCAGCAATGGAGAAAAGGGATGGATGCTATTGGGAAGAGAAAAGACGATAGAAAACGCAACTATGCAACACAGAGTCACAGGCACAATACGGAGGAGAGAAGAAAATGAAATAAAGAAAACAAAAGAGAAAAAAAAAGAGAATAGATAAAAGAAAAACAAAAATAGTAAGACCAATCAAAAGAAGCCACACGATCAAGTGACTTGCTCAAGTTTATTCAGGTCACCAAGGTGTTTTTAGAAGACACCCCATAAAATTTAGATTATATTGGAATTACTCATAATTGAGATTAATATGGGAAGATCATTGATAGGTCAGATTATTCTTATGAAATTTTCCTTTGCTTTATTCAATCATATTCCCAAGCCCAAAAAATAGTGAATTTTTGCCTCCATTAGCACTGATAATAATAATGAGAATAATAATAATATTAGAAGAGTTAGTATAAATAGATGTGGAGGGTAGAATAATAGGGAGGCTGGTATTATTTTGTTGGGCTGGGACTGGAGAGTTGGCACTCTTTAACTGCCCATGACTTTGTCTTTCTTCTCTGTCAATCGTTGGCTATTGAGACAGTTCACTCTTTCTTCCATCTTTCTTTTCTTGAATTTACTGTGAATTAGATATTACCTATCACGCATTCATAAATTACTTAGTACAAGAGAATCGGGGAAAAGTAGACGGGTCTAAGAGCGGATTTTAAGAGCACAGCTTATTACAAGCACACAACTATCTGAAACCATGATAACCATTTTCTGATGAAAGAGAAGAAAGAAAACCCAGCGTCGCTAAATGGTGAAACAGTCTGTTTCTTTTAGACATTCTAATAAATAATGGGAAAGAAAACAAACAGTAAATCTTCAGAAGATTCTTCCATGACATTCCAACAGAAATTGAAACAAAACAAGCCTACCGCTCCTCACGCCGATGGATTAATTGGAGAAATTTTGAGCTTTTCACCACTTTAGGGATCTTATAGGCAGCAAGGTGATCATCATCTTTTATAGAAGCTAAAGCTATAAGGGGCTCTTCCAGGAACCGAAGAATCAGGTGGCCTCGTATCTAAAAGCAAGCACAATGACAAGACTAGTAAAAAATTATATACATTATCAACATACTTTGAGAAAGATGTAATAAAAACACTAACCTCTGCAAGTAAGAACTTCTCATTAGGCTTTAGAGAAGAAGCATTGCAAAGTGACTGGATCAAGTCCCTGCAACGTCCCTGCTTTGGAACCGTGACAGTGCAAGCTGTGGGCAGTGCACTTCCATCACAGGTGAAAATTGTCACTGTCATACTTCGGGTTGTGGCAGATTGGAGTGGCAAGGACAGGTACATGAACGGATCAAATGTAACCGAGACTTTATTACATATAGGACAAACTAGAGTTGACTTGTACTGGCCCTGTAAATAGGGGCAGGAGCGCACACTGGCTTAGAATTTCAGTAATTCAGACAAAAATCGCAATTTCTGAAAATGAATAGTGCTCAAAATTAAAAATGGGAAGATTCAATGCTATGTAGTAAAAATAAATGATATCTTGACTTTTCTGTTAAGCACATCCTTCAGATTGCTTATGCCAAGCTAGAAGATTGAAATATTAAACCATATCTTAGTTATATACGGAGTAGTATATGTGAGTTAGGACTTAGGGTCAATAATATTTCACTCACTTGGCATACATCCACAATAATAGAATCGTTGCGAGCAATGTGGTTAGCCCAGTACTCATCGGCAACTTCTTCATCAGGCCGACCATCTGCGTCTTTTGATTTTATATAAGGTTTGTGTTTGACACGATTCAAGTCCTCATGAAGCCCATCTAGTAGAAATGCAAGAAGTTCCTAAATAGGGAAAACAAACAAACATGTAGGCTATGTGTTGGGTCCTAGAAAATATTAGGTAAAGAACTAAAATGCTAAGGAAAGTCATTTCAAATGTTCAAATTTACCATGGGCAACACAAAAGAAAATGAAACAAGATCACCATTTCTAAAAAAAACTACAATAGTTTAGATTGCTAAGTATTTATATGAATTAATGAATAAAAATGAATTTGAACAAATATTAAAAAACATTGAGTTTCAAACAATGTTTCATTTTCCTCAATATTTTATTTCTCAAGCACTCTTCGCATTCCAAATGGACCTGCAGAGACCGGAACAACCGAACATATTTCATATTGAGTGTACCATTGATAGGAACCCACTTATTGACTCATAAATAAACTAGTAGCTTTTAGTTAATTGTTGTAATAGATATTAAATAAAGTCAGTTGTTGGACTTTAATAAATAGAAGGTTGGTTGGGAGGGTGAGGAGGCTTTTGGACATTAGGTCTTGGGACTGGGAAGATTGAGAATTATTTCTCTCTCTTTGGGGGCTTCGGCTCATTTGGGGGCTTCGGCTCATTTGGGGGCTTCGGCCATTGTTACCGATTTTCCTTCTGTTACTGTTAATCTTCTTCAATAAACAATTCCATTGTTCTTGATATTGTTTTCTGTAAATTCTGGATACTTGGTGGTACCTAACATTGGTATCAGAGCATGTCGATCACTGGAGGAGATAAACGCACAAAGATGGAAGGACGAATCAACGAAGTACAAGAGAATATGGAAAGAAGTCTGTGAGAGTTCCAGACTAATATGGAGGCGAGTTTTGCGGCGAGCTTTGCTGCGTTTCAAACAAGTATCGCTAAATTGGTGATTAACACCCAAAATCAATCGCGGAGCAGATCGCATGCGTCAAACGCATCGCATCGCACTGTTCATCATCGCGACTCTCATCACCGCGACTCTCATCATCGCAACTCTCATCACCGCGACTCTCATCACCGCGACTCTCATCATCGACATACGCGACTTTCGACCGATGCAAATGAATTGGAAGAACAGAGTAGTCGCAGAAGAAATAAAGATCGCTCAAGGATTAATAAGCGTCATCCGCTATCGCAGGCAGAGTCGCGACCTGTCTCTTCTCAGAGTCCGCAGTCGCAAACTTCTCATCAATCGTCGCATAGTTTCTGGCACCGTTCTTCGCATATCTCTTTGCATCGTTCCTCTCCTCGCTCGTCGCAGAAGGAGTCGCAGACGAAATCGCGAACAGAGTCATCACCTTCATCTCGAACAATAGCTTCCAGTTCCTTGGTTTCTGTTGTTCTGAATTCTCAGGATGAGACACAATCGGTTTTTCCCAGTACTCCAGAGTCTTTTCCAATTGCTTCTCACAGTCCCCAGTTTCGACCACTCGGCAGGGAGCTGGCTAGCGGGCAGCAACCTCACTCAGAAGATACTTTCATCTATGAAGACGAAGGAAGAGAGGTGAAATCTTCTGTCGTGACTCACTCCTCAACTGCCATGGACCATGAATACGGTGATGATAATTATAAAGTGGAGAATAAGGTTGTTCCAGAAATCTCTCTAGGTGGTGAATATTCAGCGGTACCTAATAGTATGGAAAAGATGGTTGGAAATATAGGAGTGGAACACTGCCCACTTGGAAGAATTGTTAATGCATCTATCTCCTCTCTGGGGCTAATAAAGTTGGGAGCAGATCAAGACAGGGAAGTAAAGAGGTTTCAGGAATTCTTCTGTGATGGACTGTTTGGAAAACAGTTTACACGCGCATCAGGCCATAGTAATGAATGGGTGTACATTGATTGGAATGGAATTCATCCCTCTATTTCTGCTGGGGAATATGAGCTTAAAAATGCTGGGTTTAATGATGAGTTGTCTGAAGCTAACAGGCGGAATGGATTTCTCCATAGAAATGATTTGGATGCAATAGGTATGGATGATATAGAGCTGATCCACAGAGCCAATATATCAGCTGATAGAAATAGTGTGAGGGGTATGGTTGTGGTTGTTATCCCATCAGGAAGATTCTGTTCTAAATGGGAAGCTGTTCTGGGTTCATCCTATCGAATTCCATTCGAAGGAAGCACTGAAAAGGCCCCATCTACATATTCATCTGATGATGACTACTTCCACAAACAGAACCTTCTTAAGCGGCCTGGCAGTCCCACTTTTGATGCTACAAAGGAAAAAGTTTGTGATAGTATAAGCACTGTGTGTGGTAATATACCTCAAAAGAATCCCTGCAATATCCAGCAGCATAGAAGATGGATTATATACATGGTAAATGGTGTCCAGTGGACTAGCATTCAGTTTAGAAACACAGCAATTGGGATAGTTTTCAACGACTCTATTGATCCTGGGAAATACAAGACAGATGCTGAAATTTCAAGGACTGGAGCAACTAAAATCCAAGAGCTTGAATCATATCATGAGACAAGAGTTGTTAACAATTGGAAGAGTGAGCAGCTGGTGATTGGGCAGATTGGTAAAATTCAATTCCAGCATGAACAGAGCCACCTGAATGATACAGATGCTATGAAAATAGGGGATCCATTGAGGCATTTGCTAGAAACAGTGAGAAGGAACATTCAAGTTCTGAAGTCCAGGATCCTGAAAATTGAAAGATACTGGGAAGGAAGAGGCGCAAGGAAGAAGAAAAAGCAGAAGTTCTGGGTTATCTCCTACCGCCCACCTTGAGGACAAGGTGGTTGTTTAGGGCGGGAGTATTGATAGGAACCCACTTATTGACTCATAAATAAACTAGTAGCTTTTAGTTAATTGTTGTAATAGATATTAAATAAAGTCAGTTGTTGGACTATTATAAATAGAAGGTTGGTTGGGAGGGTGAGGAGGCTTTTGGACATTAGGTCTTGGGACTGGGAAGATTGAGAATTATTTCTCTCTCTTTGGGGGCTTCGGCTCATTTGGGGGCTTCGGCCATTGTTACCGATTTTCCTTCTGTTACTGTTCATCTTCTTCAATAAACAATTCCATTGTTCTTGATATTGTTTTCTGTAAATTCTGGATACTTGGTGGTACCTAACAACCATTCGCAACCATCATGCTAAAGTTTCTATCTATTCTTTATTTATACAGACTATTATTACCTGAGAATCATGCTGGTTATAACCACTAAATTGCGGTGCAAAACGAGCGAGCTTTGTCTTAAATGGACGTGGGGCTACTGGCGTGCGGCCTGGGGCCCACAATTTCCTTAGCAAATCACCAAATGCTAAAGCCAGCTCACCCTGTGTGTATTGGTTGGTCAAAAGACTATGCAAGGATAAGAACATTCATAAAATTGGGATACAAAAATGAAACCCTTGCAAATACACTTGATGATTTTATGAAACTCACCACCATCCCCAAAGGATTCTGCTTGTTGATCTCCTGATAATAATCTTCTCGAAAGTAGCGAGCAAATTCTGGTGTATGAACAAGACACTGTATTGCACTGTTCATAAAGCATGTGTTTCCAAGATTCAACAACCCAGTAAGGCCACAAGCAGATCCCCTTGTACTAACACCACTTGTTCCATATGGCTTCTCTGTCTCTCTAACCGGTGAAGACAAACTCTGCAACTGTGACATCTCAGCATTACCGTTTCTAGATGAACCTTTGCTTGCAGAGAGGCCTCCGGCAATTGAGAAATTCAGCTTAGATGGCTCCACATGATGCATTATTGTTCCATTAGGTGCAGATCCATTACCATGAATGAAAGTCGCTCCACTCCCAGCATTATTACTTACAATTTCCACCAAAATCTGGTCACATAAGAGTTGATTAAATATTTAATTACTTGATGGGATAAAGGTTTACATGGTCATTAGACATTTAGACACAATTTTACGCATAATTGGTCAAATCAGACCAACTTTAATTACAGTACTGCCACAATGAAGATTATTTAAAACTTGTTCTCATATTTAGCATATCTGTCATCATCATCATCATCATCATCATCATCATCATATTTAGCATATCTGTCAGTTGGAAAATAAGTTGACGTGCACATTTTTTGTGTAAATGTTTTCGTAGAGTATAAGTTGTTTTATACGTAGTATATAATAAAAATTGTTTAAGAAAATGAAGCAAAAAAAAATGCCCAAGTTTCATCAACTTCTTCCATGCAGATATCGAATACAAGTTTCAGATATCAATAGTTGATCTTCATCAAAGCACAAGATAACACATCACGGAGAAAAGGATAGCTAATAACACAAGAAATGTGTAGGCAATGTAGAGTAATAGACTAATTTCCTGATAGGCTGATACAAAACTGATCCCTATGACAAACACAATACTTGTATTAAAAACTGAAAGTTTTGAAATAAAGAAACCCACATCCTGATCCATTTGAATATTTGCATCATCAAGTGTCTTTTCCATGTCATTCATCAAAGCATGCTTTTGATGGCTAAAGTAATCCCATATGCACACCTGAAACACACAGAGATTATAGTGACTGCTTTGTAAAGTATGGAGCGTATACTAAACGCAGATAAAGATACAAAAATGAATCACAGTGTTGAAGACTTTACTTGCTCTGGATCAAGATTAAAGATCTTGGAAGCTTTTTTGTGAAGTTCTCCAATAGTCTCCTGCTCAAAACATAACAATGAAACAGAAGATATGTAAGATCAACCGTAATAGTCCATTCACTTTTTGATCTATTGGACTTTCTTGTTTTCATTTTGTTGTGGGACTAAAAAACTAGGGCATATATAAGTTGTTGCAGCTCAATCATACTTTTTTACTTATTCTTATGGTAGAGCACTCATCATTTGGCATCAGATGTAATTGGAGACATAGAGGATAAACTTCTACAGCCAATTCCGTTTGTGAAAGCCCAGAGCTTATCACTTTTCGAGCCAATATAGGCCCACCTCCATACCTGAAACCAGGCAAACAGTTTGTAGGATTACCCAATGGTGACACTACACATAAATTAAGAAGAGTGAACTTCACAGCAGGGAAATTTCAGCTTAATATTGTTCAATAAAAGGCTATTAGAACATGGAACAACCATATCTAAACTAATTCTTGTATTCACCTACTTCCCACTTAGTAAAGAGATATAAATATAAACAAGAAGCAACAAATATGTGACTCAAATAAAAGTCATGGAAAAAAATGTGACTACCTTTCATGCATAGTTGCCATATTTGATCACTATGGTTTACCTGGCAGTGACCATTTAGTTATACGTAGTATTTGTCATTGGATATCATTTTAGTAATCTTTTAAGAATAAACACATACTCCCTCCGTCCCGAACATGTTCGCCAACTTTGACTTTCACGTGGATTAATAAAGTAAAAACTGTGTGGTTGAAATTTGTGCAGAAGAGAGAGAATTAACTTTAGCCACATATTCCTTACTGGCTTACTTTAAATGGAAATGGCAAATCTTTTTGGGACATCCAAAAAAGGAAATTTGGCAAACCTTTTCGGGATAGAGGGAGTAATATAATCAACGATCACCAATTAGAAAAGAATTATACTTGAGAACTCTAGCATGAATTTTCATATCCTGGTCAGAATAATGGATTAGCAACTGTGTAAACCAAATAGCAGCATTTTGATGTTTCACAATGTCTGCATGAGAATAACTAAATAACTATAAACTCTTCAGGATTCTCTACCTTTCAAATGTTTCATGAGCAAAACAAATATTTGAATCTGAAACTTCTGGCCTAAATGAGTAAATGGAGTTATGGATGTGTTCATTTAACATAAGGATACAGGGGGAAAGTGACATTACAAAACATAAATGAAGCAGTAAAATCAATTCCCTTGCCACCTGAATGCAAGTGATATGAGCCACGGAAGCCCCTTAACCTCACTCATTAAAAAAAAAGACAACATATTTCTCATATTTGTGGTTTTATGAAAACAATACGGAGTATATAATTAAGAGTTAAGACCGAGTATCATAATGCAACAAATTCCAGGTTTCTTTCACAAACTCATGTTTTAAATTTTAAGAACTTAACACTCCCAATTTGAATGCTAACAATCAAGAAGAAAACAAGTCTTGGACCCCATTCCCTAAGGAGTGTGCTAGGAGGGGCATGTAGGTGTTGGAGGACAACGGCAATCTTTACAATGTGCGGAACTTAGAACCACAACTTAGCAGTTAGCACAGTAGAGAAGATTTAAGAGGCCAGTCTACCATTTGTATAATTGATCCCACACTTCCTGAGGAAGCAATATATAATCAGTGCCTTCTACCAAAGTATCTCGAAGCTCAATTCCAATTTCAGATCTTTCTGATGTTGCTTCATAAATAATATCAGAATTATCAATACTAGAAGGCTTTTTTAATACACAATGCTCTGAAGCAGATCCTTCATTTACAGCACTAGTCTGGTTTTGATTGACATACTCAAGCCATTCATGCCACCACCTGTACAAAACAGAAGTACACATGAGTTAGGCATATAAATATTTAAGTATATAACCATGTCTTCAATGCCAAATATATGTCCACGTGTGTAATGAAAATGATCAATCTTTAGAGTTATGCACATAACTTTCACCGAAAACCATCTTTTTTCTCCCAAAACATAAGAGCTGACTGTTGAGTGTCAAGAACTGTATTTCAAACCGCAATCCTACTAGAGGGCTTCAACTAGAGGGTTTTCCAAAAGGAAATCCAACTAGAGGGTTTCAATGATAGGAAAATACAGAAGCAAGATGTAGGCCAATACAAGTGAACACGTCAGTAATACAGTTCTTCATGACTTCATTTCAATAAAATTGATAAATATCAAACATTTCTATTATATTTTTAAGAACCTGGAACACGGGAAGATTTAGCAGTTCATCCAGAATTTCTTTTAGATATAAAGATTACGGGCTCTAGAAAAATATAAGGAGTGTCATTTATCCATTTCTGGAGTGCCATCCAGAAAGAATTTGCCACAAAAAAAAACAGAAGGAATTCTGGTAAAATAGCCTGCGAAAAGACCATGAATTATAAAAGAAATGGGCGCCCTAGAAATATACATCTTCAAAATCTCAGATACATGTTAGAAAACAGGGTATAAATTTGCTTAGTTAGGCACCTCTGAGTGATTAAATAGAATGTATCGCCTTCTTTGGTCCGAGCTTCCGCCGCAATAGAAATGTCTCTGATGCATAGCTTCTCTTCCTCCGGTGTCAGCTCCGACTTTACTTCCGGCATCTCCGTGAAACAGCTATCTCTGTCCGTCTACTTTCAGGCTCAGCTCTTTGAAGTTAGGAGAGAGGGAGTCATTTGGGAGTCATTTGGGACCGGGGCACACTGTCTTGGTACGCATTTTTGGTGAGCACAATAGCCCATCAATATAAAAACGTTTTTATATTCCAAAATAAGAATCTCATCTTTTTATTTTCAAAATATGATTAATTACTGTCATGTTTTGGTAGTACCAGACTTTAAACATGACAGTATTTTCTAAACTTGACATTAATTACTCTTATTTTAGGAAATAAAAACATGACAATCCTATTTTGGAATTTTCAAACTTATTTACTCCTATTTTGGGAATTTTCCCATATAAATTTTATTGCTCTCGTTTTGATTCATTTGATTCGTTGACTGTGGCCAGATTTAGGGAGCGTTTGCAAGTGGTTAAAAAACGTTTATCGGCTTTTGACTTAAAAAAGTCAGTATGTTCTAAAATATACTAATGTTTAAAAATTTCTAAAATATGAATGATTTAAACAAAATCAAATAAATTATATACTAACTAGTGTAGAACCCGGGGCAATGCCCCAGTAGCGTGTCAATTTGACATGAGTTAAAACAAAATATACTAATAGATACTGTGAATTATTCATAGGATCCAAAGTTCAGTATAATGCATTTTTACTATGATCTAACCACAAACAATAATAATTTTACGTAGTACGAAGTATATATTTACTCTTTAGTCTATATCAAGGTTTTTTATTGCGGCACTGTTGTGATCACGATCACTGCAGTTGCGGCTATTGCGACTGTTGTGATGCATATTGCGGCCAATGCGGTATAATTTAATTTTACGTTCTAACGAAATAAGAAAATAATTAGTGTTGATTTTCTGATACAGTCTGGTACGGCCCGTGCGGGCACGTTGCGGTTTAGTTGGGTTACATAGTAGATTTTTCCCGAAATTTCACCTCCATTGCAGCCCGATGCTGTTACGCTACAAAATGCAACCATAATATTGCAACCGCAACACGTGTTGGATCCCAACCTATCCCCGTTGCGGCCACGTACAATGCAGTTTTGTTAGGTTTCGTCGGGATGATAGAAGTACATTATTGTTATTCTTGTAGTTGTGCATAATTGAAGAATAATAAAAGTGTTATCTATGAAATTGTTATTGCAAAAATTTTGATTGTGTTCATACTATGTGCATATCGTGTCATGTTTTCATATTATAAGATTTTACTCACGATATAACTGAGTGTATTTATTCTTATAATTGAAGTATATATTGAATTTGAAACATTACTTACAATATGATTTAATGCACCGTCCACTCAATAATTAAGCATATTATATAGACATTACAAATTAATTAAATGTTGTAATGTAGAAGTATGACTTTTTTATTAGCATTTGTGTCATTTATTGAGTTAAACAATGATTGTAAATTAAAGTAATGTAGCATGTATTATGCGAAGTCAATAAGAAAGTCACACGTGGCATTTCATAATTCAACTTAACTATGTGTGTGTGTGTAGCAACATATAATAAGGAATCTGGTGTTTTAGGCACTTTATTTTGAAAAAATAACTAAAAAGTTAATTATAAAACTTAATTTTAAGATTTGAATCTACTTTAAAAACTTTTGGGCTTCATTGGCAAAAAAGTTCTAAGTTTAAAAATCTCCATCAATTAGATCTCATATTTTATTTACATATACAATATTGGTTTCATACGAAAAATCATAAAAAGTTATGAATTTTGATATTTTTTTAATACAAATTAGAGTACAAATAAAAAAATTATAAAACTATAAAAATAAGAAAATTTCCCTCTTCTCTTTTCTCCAAATGAGTTGGCCTAATTAAGGTGAATAGCCAGTGATGGAATGTGTGAACATAGGGAGAATTAATTAATTAAATGTTTTAATATGTGTGATAATACACTTTTTAGTAAATTCCGCTGTAGCAATTATAAACATGATTGCTGGAAAAAAAAACTTTTTAGTAAACCATAAGACATTGATACATCGTTAATTTATAACTCAGATTTACTATATAAATCGACATATTTATTGAGTTGATTATATGATGAAAGATGGAATGGAGTAGTGGAAGAGTTTATCTCTGTGTATCACGTATTCAAGTGTATTAGAGACCTATTAAATTTATTACAACTCATTATTTAAAGAATTTTATATTATAAGGGTGTAATGATGTACCCCTAATACACCCATCGTTCCCCCAAAGCTTCGTCCCCTCTGCACCAACGTCCTTCCGGCGAGGGAATTCGACAGATTCAGAGCCAAACGAAATTCTGAATAATCCAAGAAAATAATTAGACTTCATCCAAACATGAATTTACAGAAGGGAACCGTAGCCGCTGAGCCTTGCTGCTTTCTTCAGAGCCGATGCAAAAGGGAACCATAGCCGTTGAGTATGGTGAGGAGCTTCACAATATGTTTGAATTTATTATCCAAAAATAATTAGTAGTCTTATTTTTATTTCAATTTTTGGCTGTTTTTTAACTCCATGAGCATGGTGAGGAGCTTCACAATGGCAATTAGGGTGAAGAGAAAGGAGGGTGGGTTGGGTTGCTCCTGATCCTGATCTGCTATCTCTTTTTAATTTTTGGAGGTTGCTTTGGTAATTTAACAAAATATTCCATCACAATCACTTTTTTATCAAACACTCCAACCTTTACATTTTATTTAAAATCACTACTATTCACAAACACTACCAACTTTTACTACAAATTATTTTTCCAACAATCTATTAAAAAAATCACTTTTAAAAAGCACAAGCAATCGCAAACACTCCCTTAGAATTGAACGTCATAATAGAACTTGAGGGTGGATAAGTTGAGTAAATTCCAATATAATAAGGACCAGTTTAGAAATACTTTCAGAAAAAATGACATGAAAAACACAACCAATAAACCAGTGACGGATTTTACCAAAAAAAATAAACGAGTGATGGGTGTGATACGCACCAAACCATTTCTCAACGTTGATCCACCGTAAAATTTTCCTTTCTCCAATCATACACGCTTTTCTCCTACTTTTTCTCTTCATGCATTTTCCATTACATTACTCGTTCTAATTAATTAAATTAAATATTTAAATAGTAGTATTAATATATTTTGTTAATCAATACGTCTTTACCATATAAGACAATAGATTATTATTATTATTATGATTATTATGATTATGGTTATGATTATGATTGTTATTACAATTATTATTATACTATTATTGTTGTTATTGACTTGTTGTTGATGTTGTTGTTTATTTTTATTATTATTATGGAGCCGGGGTGTTTGGCAATTGGCTGTTAACTGTTGGCTGATTGTGTTGGCTGATTGATAACAGCGGATTCTGTTGGCTGTTTTGATTAGCTGGTAGTACTAGCAGTTCGTAAAATCATGTTTGGTTAAACGGTTGTTTACAATCAGCTGATAACTTGTTAAATGACTGTTAAGGACATCAATTAATTTTGTAAATAATATACAGTATGTGTGTGTGTGTGTGTGTGTGTGTGTGTGTGTGTGTGTATATATATATATATATAAGAGATCACATACTAACCATGCTTAAAATACTAACTTACTAACTCAATAATATGCAACACATTGAACTTCAATATGCAGTACAAATAATGTAAAGATGCACACTGTGAATTTCAATATGCAATAAAAACAATATGCAAAACTTTGAACTTTAATATGCAGTACAAATAATATGCAACACTTTGAACTTCAATATGCAGTACAAATAATGTAAAGATGCACCGTTTTTGATAGTTTGTAGGTTAGCATGGGAGGAATGGTTAGTATGTGATCTCACCCCTAATATATATATATATATATATATATATATATATATATATATATATATATATATACAGAAATGCTCAGGTCCCTCCGGAGGGACGGGAGCAGCTGTCCAAACTTCACTGTTTGGGGCGGTTCCCGGTGGAATTTTTCGATGAAATTTTTTGAGCATGTTCCTTATCAAGTCTAGTTTGTCCATACCAAATTTTAGCTCAAAATTCGACCGGGAAGGCAGTCAAATAAATTCTTGAAACTTACTGCACTTTATATATGCGCAGAATGTGTAGTAAGCTTCAAGAATTTATTTGACTGTCTTCCCGGTCGAATTTTGAGCTGAAATTTGGTATGGACAAACTAGACTTGATGATGAACATTCTCAAAAAATTTCATCGAACAATTCCACCGGGAACTGCCCCAAACAGTGAAGTTCGGACGGCTGCTCCCGTCCCTCCGGCTAGACCTGAGCAGTCCTATATATATACTAGACTAAATACCCGTGCGATGCACGAGGTATATCTAGAGTAAGTAACAACTTGTTTAAAATTATATTTATTGTAATTGTATATGTTGTTTAATTTTTCCAAATAAAAAAAGATAGTAGAGTTTATATGTTGTAAATTTGATTATACAATAGTAGTTTGTAAGAAAAGGAACATTTGAATCGAATGAAAAATTGTCAAGTAAGAGTACTCATTAGGACACCAAGCTTTTCCTGATCCTTGTAATGATCCTTGTAACCTAGTTAGAACAGGTGGTTTAATATGCTATTGCCACCAAATGTTTAGACTCATCAAATAAGTGACTCATCATCAAGCTCAACCAGTATAAATAGTGGCTTGATGAGGTCTTGTAAATTAATTCAAGCAATTCAGAAACTCAGAAATTTCAGATATTAAGAAGAAGTAATTTAGAAGTTTTTATCTATATATCTATCTCTTAAATTTAGTCTTCATCTTCTTCATTTCACAACACTTTCTTTATTGTTATCCGTATTTTTGAAGGTTTTCTTTTATTATTGTTATAATTTTTTAAGGCTTTTTTTTTATTATTGGTATTAATTAAATACCTGATTTACATGAGTTGTTAAAAATCACTTTTATAGATTTTATCATCAGCAACAAATCAATACTACCAAGGTCCCGAAAAGGTTCATCATATTAACTTTTCTTGAT